AGTGTCAAGCACAGATCCGCGTGTGATCCTCACAAGAGGTGTCTGATCTGACAAGCTGTAACTGGACCCACGTAGGAAAGGGTGTATGGACCTCGCGGGCGGTGGGAGTTAAAGCTGCCACAGAAGTTGTGAAATGGACAGCAGCCGAGTCTTGGCAATAGAACGAGGGTGTCTGCAGCTGGAATGCCCCTGTCTGCAAGCCTTTACCAAGCTGAAGGTTGCTGAATAAAAAGAAGAGTGCATTTGATCTTTTCAGGGATGATCAGAAGGTGAAAAATCAGGATGTGTAAAAAAATCAAGCTGCCCCTGGAATGTCCAGCATACTTCAACTAATGAGAGACACTCAGCTGCTTACCGTAACTGAAACAAAGAGGGGCAATTGTCATGCCTTACCAATACTGAGATTTTGCTTTTGACCAATAACTATGTAAAGCTTAAGGGTTACCACACACAAACAGATTCATCATAAGAGTGGGAGTTATCACGGAGAGTATAATTATGACTGTTAAATCCACGGCTCAGAGCAAAGGGTGTAATAGATGCACAAGACAAACACAGGATCTTGAAAGCGTTATTGAAGTTCATCCCCGACACCGAATCAACAGCTGAAGTTTCTGGCCTCAGCTGGGTGATTCCTGCCAGTTTTTAATCACAGCACCCTAAGCATAGTTTCTCTTTACATTTGTAGATTGTCACAGTCGTTGATGGCAATTTGACATATACAAAAAAGATTCAGTTCTTTTCAGATTAATGTTTTTGCCATTAAAACATCTGCTAGGTATTGGTCTATTTATAAGGCAAATGGCAATTTTTTCTAGGAAGTTTCTCTAGGAGGTTGCAGGAATACTATTTTATGCAAGATAACATTAGTAGGAATTACATTTCTGTAAAGGTTTGTCAGAAAAAAGCGAGTGTTGCTTTATTCTCACTGTAAACTTGACCCAAATAATTTCATTTTAACTTTGTGAGCTTCTAACTGAAAGTTTTCTTACTGGATTGCATTTCTAGATGTTGTCCTCCGTGTCTTTACCTGGCTCATGTGCAGGAAGAAATTGGTCATCTGTTTTCTTCCCTCGTTTTCAGTTTTACTCTTGGGACCCATTATTTCAGTAATTCACATCAGAACACCATTCTTTGTTCAAAAGAAAAAGAAAGTAGGTTTTGTACTTCAGATGGATGTTGTGTTTTAGAAATGTAAGAAGGTTATTTAGAAAGTTTTCTGTAGATCAGATGAGCCCTTATTGAGAAGTATGAGGAAAATATTGATGCTTCTGTAGGTGTTGCAATCAGTCATGCTGGTACAGAAATAAAGAACGGATACTGCTATGGACAAATCATTGCATCTGAGAATCGTTTAAAACCCAAAAACATTGCAATCCCAAGAAAGTCACTTGCAGAGAAGTTTATCAAGGGATTTCCTAGTTCAGAGCATCAACTTCTAGACTACTGCCTAGGCAAGAGTTAAGGTAGTAGGCCTACATTCCGTAGGAGGAAGAGCCTGTGCACGGTTTTTCTCCTGATGGTAAAAATTTTCACTAACATTACTTTGTTACATATGTCACCTTTCTGTATTTACAGGTAAGACCCCAAAAAGATGATGACTTTGAAGCCTCATTTCTGATGTTAGATCTCATTTACTTTATTCCGTATTAATTTTATTCAATCTAAAGCATGTTTATTGCCATGTAACATCAATTCCTCACTACAAGAAAGACATTGAGGTCCTGGAGCGTGTCCAGAGAAGGGCCACAAAACTGGTGAAGGGTCTGGAGAATATGTCTTATGAGGAGCGACTGAGGGAACTGGGCTTGTTTAGCCTAGAGAAGAGGAGGCTGAGAGGAGACCTGATCACTGCCTACAACTACCTGAAAGGAGGTTGTGGAGAAGTGGGTGTTGGTCTCTTCTCCCTAATGACAGATGATCGGACGAGGGGGAATGGTCTCAAGCTGCGCCAGGGGAGGTTTAGATTGGATGTAAGGAAGAAGTTCTCCACCGAAAGGGTTATCACGCACTGGAACAGGCTGCCCAGGGAGGTGGTGGAGTCACCATCCCTGGATGTGTTTAAGAGAGGGGTGATGAGGTGCTGAGAGATATGGTTTAGTGGTGGACAGATACAGTTGGACTGGATGATCTCTAAGGTCTTTTCCAACCCAGTGATTCTATGATTCTATGAATTATTTAATGATGAGATGGCACAGCTGTAATTTTTGTGACCATCGTGAAGAGGTGCATTACTCTCCATGTTAAAATTCAGGCGTTTTTGTGTTTTTGTTTTGTTTTTAACTGGAGCGTGTACAACATTTCCTCAGACTACGAGCACAGTTACCTCGTTTTAGGGGGATCTGAGATGCAACACACCTTGGGAATCTTTTAATACTAGCAGGCTCAGCAAGTAGTCCATGCAGCTTTTCCCCATGACAAGAATAGCTGTGGGAAGGTTGAAGAGTATAAGGAGGAAAAAGAAAAGACCATCTGCACTTCAAAGATTCCCTGCAGATGAAGCAGATAGAAAATCCACATAGATTACTGCAGAAGCTGTAGGTGAAATTAAAAGTTGCCATCTCCAATATATGCATTTGCCTGAAGTATTCTCTACGTTTACATATTCTAGGGCAGATGCAGCTGGAAAGATGTATATATTGCCTTTTTTTTTTTCTTTAGTCTGAAAGTGACTTTAAACCTGGGGTCTGTTAATACTGAGATCCCATTTACAGTCCAAAGAATTGTGTGTCCAGCATGTAGCAATCTTGATTATATTCCGGTCAGGATGTGGGAAAGATGCTATTAGAAACAAAACAATCAATTCACTCAGACAGTCCCACAAACATGCTTTATGGCATCTGCCTCCTACTCATTTTAAGTGAGGTTTTATAGTGACACATTGGTGAAGATTAGTACACAACTGCAGGCAGATGCCCATGACTGATTCAATTGTTTGCACTGACACTCACAATTGCTGTAATTGCAACTGAAGTGATACAAGCCATTGCAAAAAACAAAGTGAAACCAACATTGTTCCTCAGAGATTTTATTAGCTGAAACCCAGAAATGTACAATCCGCTGTTTTGTCTTGGTATGAATTCTGTTTACTACGCCTGCGATAGCGTCCTCGTTGATTTAACACAGGAACATTCAAAAGGCCTCTTGAAAACGAGAACTTGTACAGTAAAGGTAACACATTCCAGCCTCACTTGTTGACACACATTTGTCTTCAAACAAGGCGATTAAAAGATAAAACAGCAAATAATTTTTAGCAAATCACTATGGACATGATCCTAAGCAAAGGATACTTCTAAGTTCTAGCTTCCCTGTATGCTCCAAGTGCAGCTACCGTTGTTCCTCTTTTCCCCACATAACTGCTAGACTCCATCAATGTTCAAAGATGGTAGTTCCGAAGGGAGTGACCGTCTTTTGCAGCCTCTGGAGAAAGAGAAAATGGATGTTTAGAACTAGGCAGTATCCAAAACCTTCCGGAGAAGAGATTACCTTGTAGCCTGCCAAGCAAGTTCTCATGCGGTACTGAAGACTTCCTTCAGACTGCCTACACTCCTGGTGGCTCAGTCCAAAGGAATTAAGGGATGATCCATGTAGGAGTTGAGGATTTAACACACTGGCTCCCCACTTACAAAAGAAAAGTGACTCTTGCCGATGTATGTCACTGAAAATGGAAATCCCTTTGCAACAGAACCCATATTCTGAAGGTATTTATAGCGTCTTCATCCTGTACACTGGAAAACTTCCATCTAAATGCTCGAGACTGACTGTATCTAATCCTTCTCTATCAGCTATAACCAAAGAAAACGCCCAAACTTTGCAGGAAAGCAGAAGATGCCTGATTCTGTCCTGCGTTCCTCCAGGCCAGTACACAGTGGTGAAAAAGGCTGTTGTTCCAGCTGTGGTTCCCCACTCACATCCACAAGAATTCACTCTCATTGATCAAATGGGACACACAAGTGGGGAGGTAGCCGTGGATGCAGCAAAACCTTTAACTAAATTTTGTGTTCATTTTATTAAATAGAGGAGACCATCTCCTCCCAATATTTAAATTAGTATTAGATTTGCCAATATATTGGAGAAGGGATCTCTAAATCAACAACGTATTGCATCAGAAAAGAGTTCTGAGAAACGAAAGGCAAGGGCTGGAGATGTCTCCAGTTACAGCACGGCACGGGGGAAGGTCAAACGCCCTGACAAGTTTCCTATAGAGAGGCGTGTTGGAGCTGATGCTTTGAACACGAGGCTCACACCCACCTTGCACACAGCTGAGGAGGGAAACGCACCTTGTCTGTCAGCAGCACAGCAGAGATCCGTGCTGCGAATCCGTGCACAGGCAACCAGGCTGCCTCATCGAAGGCCTAAGAGCGAGGCCATGGCCCTGCCCTGTCCTGCGCCCGGAGGGGAGCGACCCCTCGGCAGAGCTCTCTGCTGCGAGGGAGCACCCGCAGCGCGTCTGCAGTGCCACCAACTCCTCGCCAGTGAGAATCTGCCCACGTTTCCTGTGGGCAGATGGGCTGGTGCACAGCGCTCCGTGAGCAGCCGGAGGGGGAGCACAGGTGGAAATGCTGTGGGTACCACAGTCGCACCTCCTGAGCTGCGGCTGTGCAGCCCAACGGCTGTGATCACAGGCACGGCACCCAGCAACCCTGGCCAAGTGCCCGATAAAAGGCCTTTCCCCTCTCATGCAGACCAGATAGAGGAACAATTCACTGCAACGGGCCAACGGAACGAGACGTTTGTGCCCTCAGTGGCTTTATTTCGGTAGCTTTTACATTCCCAACCAAGTTCAGAAGCACACTGTGGAACACACCATGAAAAAGCACTTCCGGGCTCAGGCAGAAAGAGGAATAAACATTAGCCCCACTCTACAAACAAGGATTAAAGTACTCAGAGTCGTGTCAGAAGCTAAGGTAGGGACAGCAGCTGAACCCAGATGACCTAGAGTGAACTAGGGCTTAAGTACAAGATCCCCCTTCCCACATGCATAGGCTGATCCTTGCGTCTCAGAAATTTAGCACTCGACGACGAGATCTTACCTTCTTTTGTCTTAAGAAGTCAAGAACCTCCTTATGCCCTGTAGCCTCTGCCTGTAAGTAGAAACATGAATAAACCCCACCATCCTGTGCACCAGGACATGCAAATACTTCCTTGTGGGAAGTAAGAGGATGTTACCACAAAATAATTAAAATCCAATTTAAATTTTAATTCCTCTGACACAGATGAGAAAATCCTGGCTCCAACAATTCATTACTTCAGAACAGCCCCAGACTTGAGCGTGTAACAAACACTAATCCAGTTTATAGTCCCCAGAGCAGCACTTACTTTTCCCAAACTAGGATTACCCGGCAGCGTGCATTATTACTCACACAGCACGCCATACGGAGTACAGCCGTATGCACACTTACTACTTGTAGGGGATTTCTGCCATCGTAACCAGTTTGCTGCAGGTTTGCACCAGCTAGGTACCAGGCATGCAGCCCATCCATGTCGCCGTTAGCTGCGAGGCTGGAGAAAGAACAATGAATGTTGGTTCTACATCTTTCAGTGCATTTCAGTGTGCTCCTGGGTCCTGCCAATTAGCTCAGCAGGCAAATCTGAACCAGAACAGGCTCAACATGGCTGCCAGGGTAGAGAGGTAAGTACAGGAACACGGTTACAACAGCGTCGAACAGCTGAGCAAGCAACACAGCGTGATGAATCAGTTCCTTCAATTAACAGGGCTGTGTGTAAGTACTTACAACAGGCTAGTTTCACATTGTGGGTGTGACTGTGACCAAAGGGGAAAAAAAAGTCATGCAGTTTCATATTTCACAACACAATATTTATCTCACTAAATGAGTTGGGGGGAGGGCAGCGGCTAAATCAAGATGCAGCTGAGTAAGAGCACAAGCAGATGTGCTAGCAACCGGCGTGTCTTATTTCAAACCACCAAGAAACCCCCTTCGCGAGTTCGTGTAACTGTGTGCTGTCAGAAGTCATGGCAGCACATTCACGTGGTATCACCGGGATGGCAACACAGCTGCATTTTTTTGTGTTTTATAAGGTGATTTTTAAGATTTAAGTGGGCATCAAGCAAGGAAAAAAAAGGCTTGTTAAAGATGACCTCTGTCTGCCATGTGCAGCAAGCAACAGAAGGGGTCAAAATTAGTCATACACAAATAAATGGAAAAGTTTTCAGGGGAATCTACAGGAGGCTGTTTCTTCACACATCTGCCGGTAGTCTCGTCCATAATACTTCAGGTTCATTTTTAACGTCGTTTTGGTAAAAGAAGGGCTAACAGCCAGTACTTGTGCAGAAGCATGGCCTGTCTGTACCAAACCTGCGGAGAGGCCGCGCAGACAGCAAGGCTGGGAGTTCTACCTTCGCCTTTCTCAAGATTCCAACATCTGTCAGGCTTCAGACCGGAGCTTGCTGTGTGCTCGCAAATGGTTTCAGCAGAACCATGCCGATCATCACCTCATTAAGAGAGGGGAACCCTCCCCAAACTTAGCAAGTTCAGAGTTTGCTGCCTTAAGCAGGGCTGGCTGCGGGGAACGGCATACTGCTGGCTGCAGGGATGAAGGATGATGGGCTCCTGGGGATGGCAGCCAAGCCAGGCAGACCTGGCAGAGGGTGGAGAAGGCTGGAAGATGCGAGGGGCAAACAATCAGGTAAGCTTACAGGAGAAACCCTGAGAGCAGGGCTGCAACATTCACTTTCCTGCTGGGCTGAAATCACTTCTGTTGTTGATTAAATCTCTTAAGTACCTGAAAAAATGTTTTCAGGGGAGTGGAAGCCTCTAATTGCAGCAGTCTGAGGAAAAAGTCAGATGGAAGCTGTTGCTTGCAGCAGTCCAGAGGTTGGCCAGGAAAAGGGAAAGCAAGGGGTCTCTGCCTGTGTTCCTCCAGGCAACCCTACAGAGCCTGGGGCAGGGCAGAAGACATACAGCTGGGGCCACTGGGGGGCAGGGAAGTGGCAGTGGGGTGCTATGAGGTTTAACAGTGCTTCAGTCCGATATCATGAAGAAAAGGATCAATAGATCATTAATTTAAACTGCCATCACAGAAAAAGGCCCCTCATGCAATAAGGAAACAGATGAAGGCAAAGAAGGTCTAACAGGAAGCTCAGTGGGAAGTCCTTAAGGAAACTGCAGGAAAAAGTAAGCATTAATAAAGAAAACGTGTAAGCATTAGTAAAGCAGAGAAGAAATTGCTTAGCAGTCACTTCTGGAAGACAAGAGCTATCTTTATTTGAGTCTCTTGCCATTGACACTGGAAGGTCCCAGAATGAAGGAACAAACAAGCAAAAAGCCTACCTAGCAAGTGAGAGTTACAAGCATCTCCGACACTGGACAGGCAAATACAGTATCTGCCAAACAGAACCTCATCGTTCAGCCACGTGCGAAGCGGAAACCACGTTGGGCGAAGACCGGCACATTTAGAAATATTACCAACCTACATTCCCAGGCAATCCAGCTGGCATCACTGTAAGCAACCAACAAGGACTACTGCACTTCCTTGACAAGGAACGGCCTACCAGGCCCTGTTCAGAACGAGCGATTTCACCCACGCTGCCGGAGGCCAGCACTGTGACGCGTCTCCTTCCGTGACATCAGAGCAATCCGAATACACAGAAGCACCTTCAGTTTTGCAGCAGCCGTTTAGAGACCGAGTGAGAAACGTAAGCCACGGGGACCATGTCCCAGAGAACAAAGTGATGAGGCTTGCGAGAAAACGTAGATACCGCTCTAAAGAGAAGATACCCACTGTTCACTAAATTGACTATAATCAAGAACACCACACAACATTTTCTCCAATTCCAGATCTCTGTAGTCAAGCCAAACGCATCTGTATTTCCTTCACACAATCTAAGTGTACTTCATACAGTCACACACACAGGACTTCCCGACATACACGATAAAGGCCTCTGCTCTGCATTCTTCTCAAAGGTATTTATACCAACAGTTCGTAACCACAAGAGCATCTTCTAAGCAGCAAGTCCATCGTTTTTATATCATGGAATGGAATAAAAATAACTTCAGTATACACTTACCAGCATGTTTAAAACCTGCTTTGTTGACAAAGAACTACTTAACACATTTTACTAAACTCTGACTGGTACCTTTTAGAGCAGATAATCTCAGCTATGCTGCCTGTCACTACTCTTGCATTTAGAAAAAAATCACTATGTACCCATTTCACAGTTTCAGCGTGGCTAATGTTGCCATGATGACGACAGAGCTATTCAGAGTAGTGCCAATGCAATTACGCTCTCTGATTTTGTGCCTTCTATCCAGCAAACTCAGGTACAGGAACTGCTGCTTAAGGGGTGCTCTGTTCCTGTCAAGGTATCAGGAGCGAAGCCGCTCAGGTCTCAGAGTGTCTAGAAGGACAATGCAGTTCTAGGTCTGGGAAGTAATGGGTACAGTGAAGTGACACCTCGGGGCTCCCTCCTGCCTCCTCAGGTACTGGGATTTCATCTTTCCAAGGGACACAAAGCTCTGCTTTTTCAGTGACTCTCCTTTTTCAGCATCTATATAAAGCGATCAGGAAAGACTTACACTTTTTTAGGTGTATCATCATCCTAAAAGAAGAGAATTCTTTTTCATCCCTTTTCCCCC